TGTACCCTCCTTCCCCCATCCCCCTGCACCCCAATCCCCTCCCCAGCACCCCATCCCCAGCACCCTCATCCCCTGCACCCTCATCCCCCAGCACCCAATCCCCCTGGACCCTCCTATCCCAGCACCCCCATCCCCTGCACCCTCTTCCCTCAGCACCCCCATCCCCTGCACCCAGTCTCCCCTAGCACCCCCATCCCCTGCACCCAAATGCCCTGGTTCCCCCTCCCCCTGCACCCCTACCCCTCCCTCCCACAGCACCCCATCCTCTCAGTTTGCCCTCCCTGCACCCAATCCCCCCACTGGAGTCAGCCCTGCTGTGGGGGAGGGACTCCTGGGGAAGAACAGCCAATCACAGCTGCTGCAAGAGGCAGGTAGAGCAACCCCTCCCCACTCCCAGAAGCCCAGGGGAGTTTTTGGATAGGGGAGGGAGGGTGAAGGAACAGCCAACACCATTCTCACAGGAAGGGAGGGGACAGGAAGAGCCCAGCAGCTCAGGGTGGCTCTGTCCCCCTCGTGAACAATAAGTCGGTCTGCTCCCCCCTCCAACAAGGAGGGGGCAGGTGAAGAGCCCTGGAGCTCCAGGAGCAGAGGCGTGAGATTGGGGGTAAGGAGCAGCTGTGATGGGTGTGTGCAGAATGAATTGCTGGGCTGGGGGAGGGGATGAGGATTAATTCATTAGGCTCTGGGGTGTGGGTAACTAGCAGCTCACTGGTGATCTCGTGGGGGCCGACTCCTGATGTTTGAACTCTCGGGGTTAGCAGTGCTGAGTGGGGGAGAAATCCAGGGGGGCCACGTTGGGGTGCCTCCAGTTCAATACAGCACCCTGCTCCCACGTGGCAGGGTGACCCCACTGATCCCAGCAGGAATGGGGTGGTTGGGATAGAATTGCCTGGTGCCCGGTGGGAAAGGGAACCTGGCGGCGCTAGTCAGCACTGCTGACCGGGCTGAGGCCGGCTCCCTGCCTGCCGGGGCTCTGTGCAGCTCCGAGAAGCAGCTCCGAGAAGCAGCGGCACGTCCCCCCTCTGGCTCCTGGCCATAGGAACCGCGGCCAGTGGGAGCTGCGGGGCGGTGCCTGCGGACAGGGCAGCACGCAGAGCCCCCTGGCCGCGCTTCCAAGGCGCAGCCGGAGGGGGGACGTGCTGCTGCTTCCGGGAGCTGCCTGAGATCAGCGCTGCCTGGAGCCTGCACCCCTCACCCCCTCCTGTGCCCCAATCCCCTGCCACAGCCCTGATCCCCCCCCTGCCCTCCAAACCCCTTGGCCTCACCCCAGAGCCTGCATCCCCAGCCAGAGCCCTCACCCCCACACACACCCCAACCCCCTGCCCCACCCCAGACCTCCTCTTGCACCATGAACCCCTCATTTCTGGCCCTAGCCTGGAACCTGCCCCCCCAGCCTAGAGCCCATACCCACTTCTGTGCCCCAACCCCCTGCCACAGCCCTGATCCCCCTCAGGCCAGCCTGGAGCACCATCCTGCACCCAAACCCATCATCCCCCGCTCCACCCCACAGCCTGCACCCCCAGACGGAACCCTCACTAACCCCCTTCCCACACCCCAACCCCCTGAGCCAGTCCGGTGAAAATGAGCGACAGAGGGGGGGTGAGTGGAGTGAGGAGGGGCGGGGCCTCGGAGGAGGGGCGGGGCAAGGGTGTTGGGTTTTGTGTGAGTAGAAAGTTGACAACCCTGGGTTGGGATCAGGTCCTACAAAGCTAAAATTATCTGCTGCTAAAACTGGGGGGGTGGGGGGGGCGGCCCAGGGACTCCAACTGGGGCCAGGAGGGCCCCTGCTCCCGCAGCCCGGACAAAGTATGGTTTGCACCCCATTCTCCGCAACAGTGAGCGCCACAATGCTGCCATATGACCTTCCTGCTCACCACGGGCCTCCCTGGAGCCCCAGGTGCTCCACTGCCTGGGGGAGGACATGCGTGATGACCAGCCCCAGCAGTGTCAGGGGGAAGCAGGCCAGAATCTCTGACCTCAGGCAGGTGCAGTGAGCAGGACAGGCCGTTCCCTGCTGCCTGGGGTGTTGGGGGCTGGCTGCATCCACGCCATGGACAGCCTGCGGGGACCCCGCCTGGCCCTGACATGACTCCACCAACACCAGTGGGACTGAGCTGGGCAGGGGAGGGAGAGGAGCGGGGAGCTCTCACCCACCGTAGCAGGTGATGTTCAGGATGTTCATGTTCCTGGAGCTCTCCTCTGCCATCAGCCTGTAGTACTGGGCGTAGACCAAGATGTTCTGGCACTGGACCTGGGAAGAGAACGGGGGATGGAGTGTCAGAGCTTCCCTGCCGCAAGGGACACGTGGCCACCACGGCACCGGGGGAGCCATGCCCAGGCAATTCCTGGGAGGGCGGCAGAGATGGAGGAAGGGAATTGGCCACTCTCCCTTTGCAGAACGGTGAGGAACGTGGGCACTCCTGGAGACAAAGGGGCGGGAGGGGGGGTGCATTGTGGAAGCTGCTTCCTCGTGAACGTTTCTGCCCTGCTGGTGCCCCTCAGTCCTGACTCGCAGCCCCCCTGTTATCCCAGCCCTGGGCTCACCTTACACACGGGTCTGCCAGTGCCCCTCAGTCCTGATGTGCATTCCCCCCCCCCCCGGTGATTCCATTCCTGAGGGTAGGCACTTGACCCGTTGTGCCAAGCTGCTGCTGTGTGGCTTTGCGCAGACCAGCTGCTCCAGCTGCCCAGAACACATTTGAACAGAGAATGTGAGAGGGGAAACTTGGGTGGAAGGAGCCAACGAACAGGCGAAGGGTTGTTAGCTCAGAGGAAGAAGAATCCAGTGCAAAGTGACCAGGGGAGACGAGCCAGTAATCCCTGGCCTGCTGGTTCCCCGACTGATTTCCCCCCAGTGTGGTGTGAGTTGTGCGTTCAGCAGTAGGATCTGCAGTGGGATAAAGGCTGTGGGTGAATCACTGGGCGCGTTCGCTTTCCTCAAGTGCTGGCACTGGCAAAGCTCCAAGCCTGTCTCTGTATTCTGCTCTGGGGCATCTGTCTAAACCATAGTGGAACTTTGCAGGAAGTCCCTGTGACTCTGTTTGTCTGATCACTAGGGAGCGGGAAGAGACAGATGGACGGAAGGAGAGAAATGTTCATTGATGAAACAGGAATGTTGCAACATACCAGACCGTGCTCGGTAACTAAAGAATCCCCCTGACTCGTTTCTCCTGTTCAGAGGGGCTGAGCTCTAGGTCTCGCTCATCCCTGGGAGCTGTGGGGTGCTCAGCGCCCCAGCGAATCAGGACACGTTATGGTTAGTACACGAGGTCTTTATAAGAAGACCTGAGCCAAAAGCCTGGATCCAAGCTCCCCAGGGAACTTGGTGGATCCAGATCTGGCTCAGCCGCGTCTCTGGGAGCAGGATTCACTGGCGGTAGTTCTGTAGAATTGCTCAGTCAATGCTGTGACCCCGTTTGTGCTTCCGAAAGAGGCATGGACTCTTTGTCCTCTTCCGAATAGCTCACGGGATGGAATGAGACGCTGGGGGTGGGGGGCCTGGGACCAGGGAAACCTGGGAGACTTTTGCATTGGGTGTGATGGGGTTTGCAAGATGATGTTGAGTTTCACAAGTGCCTCCCAGCCCCCCCGATCCATTTAAGTGAATTTCCCCCCACACTTGTAATGAGCTGGAATCCAGCACTAATCAAATCCTCAACGCTCGGTTTGAAAGGCGTTCTCGCCCACGTGCCGAGACGAGTGGGGAACAGATTGAAAACTTCTGCAGCAGCCCAGCGTGTGGCTGGCACCAAACAGAACCTGCATTCGCAAATGGCTTGAACGCTGCCCTCAATCCAGAACCTGAGACTTTTCCAGCGGGTTCTAATTTCTGGCAAAGTGAGTTTTCCGTTTCCCGGTTCAGAGCAAACCCCTGCCAGGGCCTTGCTGCTCGATTCCTTGCCTTGACGGACGCTAGAGCAACTCTTGGCAAAGGTGAATATTTAGGAGTCACTAGCCCAGTGTCCGGCGTGATTGTGACGTGTGTCGGATAGTGACTGTTGTGCTTACATGTAAAAATCAATGGACAAACGGCTGGTGGAAATGGGTCTGGCTCCCCTGGCTTCAGCACAGCTGAGAATCTGGCCCATACATGGAATTGTGTGTATGTGTCTTTAGCATTGGTTAAAGGTGCCGGATTGACAGCCCCATGGATTCACTCTGGGTGTTAGCCCCAGACCAGCTACAGCAAGGGCCGGTGCTGCTTAACCTGGATCTGCAGAGACCATGCTTGGGGAAGGGGGGGGGGGGCTGCCAATGTTCCTGTGATTAGCGTAATAGCTTGGGAGCTGTGGGTTCAATTCCCTGCTCCGGCACAGACTTTGGCTAAGTCATTTGGGGAATGTCTGGGCTGGTTCGTGCCTGCTGGCTCAGGTGAAGGGGCTTTTCAGCGGTGGTGCAGACATTCGGGCTGGTGCCCGGGCTCTAGGACCCTGCAATGGGGGAGCCTGAACCATCTACATTGCAAATAAAGAGCCCCTTAGCCCAGGTCAGCTGGCAAAGGCCAGGGTGGGTGTCTAATTGCAACAGAGACAGACCCGTAGCCTCTCTATGCCTTAGTTTCCCCATCTATAGAATGTGGACAAAAGCACTTCCACAGAGGGGGGTGAGGCGCAGCGTCATATAAGAACCTAAGATGGAGAGACAGGGGAGCTTGAGGCTCTGAGTAGAGCCGATCTCGGTGCTGGTTTTTATGAGAAGTTAAAGAAAAACAGTCTGGGTTTTGTTCTACACTCAAAGGAGAGAAAATTGCGTCTTTAAGGCCTGAGCGTGGTGCAGCCCCTGAGGGCGCAGGAGGGTACGGCCGTGCTCTGGGCGTCAGAACCGCTGCAGGAGCTGATAACCCCGTGGGCACCCAAAAGGAGCTGACATTTTTCCAACAAAACTTTTTTTTTTCTTTGCTCCAAAATCGACCTTTGTTAGAAAACAAACATTTTCAACAGAAACCCGAAAACAAACCATAAAATAGGGTTTTGTGGCTTTGAGTTCTCCTTTTTCGGGGGGGGAAGCCCAAGACCAAGAAACTGAATATATAAGGAACAGGAGAACTTGTGGCACCTTAGAGACTAAAAGTATTCCTGTTCTTTTTGCGGCTACAGACTAACACGGCTGCTACTCTGAAACCTGAACATATAAGAATTTTCACGGAAACTTTTGAATCAGCGTTTCTATCGAAAAGCCGCAAAATGAAAAGCACCTTGGCTTTTTACAAAAAATAATTCCATTTTCCAATTCTCTGCCTAGCTAATGAGCAATAGAGAAGTGTTAAGAAACTCCTCCAGTGAGCATGGTAAGAATGGAGAAATGATAGAGGAGTAATTTCACCCACCACCATTGAAATGCTGCCACCTCTGGGGTGGAGCATGACAAATGTTTAACAATCCACAGCACCCTCAAGAAGAGCTCGCTCTTAAAATTCTGAATTTCCCCTGCTTAGTGGTATCACGTCTATGAGTATTACAGTTAAGCCCTATGGAGAGGATGCTCGGTAGTGTGGTCCCAGGTTCCCCACGCTAATAAAACAAACATTTGCAGCGCCCCAGTCAGGGGATGAGAATATTTGGAGATGAAATTTGAATCGGTCACTTTCCTGCTTGCAAAAGAACCTTTGTGCCTCAGTGGATCGTATCGCCCTGGTCAGCCCCTGAGCAGAAAGGAGAGATGGACGGATGGGCTGGGCATGGTGGGATTCCACTGAATTACCCTGGGGGTGAATTTGGCTCTGAAATCAGCATTGTGTTTGCGACCAAGGGGATCCTTGCTCTCTCTGTTCTTTGTGGGGGGATAGACAGCCAGTCTAGGGATGGCTAGATAGAAAAACACGCTAGGTTCTAGGGTGGTGAGAGAGACGCACACTAGGAGGGAGGGATGGAAGGACAGACAGCTCGGGCACGGGGGCACGGTTCTCCGAGGCAGGCCTACCAGGTCGGCGTTGCAGGTCCGCAGGGTGGCGTTGCATTTCTCCAACTCTTTCTGGGTTGCCGTCATCTGCTGGACGCAGCCGAGCTTCTCCTTGCTGGTGGCGTTGAGTTGCTGGGTGAGGTTTTTGTTCTTGGCGTTGAGCAGCGTCATCTTGCTGTAGAGCTCCTGGACCTGCTCCTCCAGGTGCCGCAGGTGGGTGTCGGTGCCGGCGTGGGCGTTGCCGTAGAGCATGAAGAGAACCAGCCCCAAGATGATGAGGAACTGGATGACCGAGGTGAATAGGAAGATGTATTTCATGTAGAAGCCACAGTCCCGCTTGGGGTTCAGGTTGTCCCTGGACTCCAGGCCGAACTTGGCCATGGCGTAGGCGTTCTTGTCCATGTTGCAGGCTCACTGCTGCCGCCCGGCTCTCTGGCCCCGCTTTCAGTGGCAGTGGCGGTGGGGCGGGGCGCGTCCGCCCCTTATCCCCTCCAGCCGAGTGTTTATATTGCTCTATTTAATATTTCCTCCTGCCTGGCTCCTTCCTGCCTCTCCGGATGCACTGGCACAACACGGCTGCCGTTTCCACACGGGCTATTGTTCCCAGCCTGTCATGGACAGGGGCGAAACTCCCCGCGCCTCCTGCCCAGCTTTACTTGTGTGTCTCCAACTGACGTCCCAGCTGCTACTTCGGAGCAGGGTTGTGTGTGCGCGAGGGGGATGCTCCCTGCGGTGGGCTCACAGGGCCTGATCTAAGGCTCTGTGAAATCGATGGACAATCTCCTGACCGAATCCATCCCAGCAGGCTGAGGTCTCCACAGGAAACAGCCTGGTTCTGATTCCAGCCAGCTCCACTCCTTATGGGAAATGTCAGAAACCGCTGCTTCCTATCCGACTTACTGGAGAACGAGAGCCCTCTACCCACGCTTTCAGCCAGCCCGTAGAGTGTAATTAACAGAGGGTTATTCCCCCACTGCAGGGTATAGGAAAGATCTCCTCCTGCGTTAGCTTCGATGGGGTTTTTCCATTGGGGGCACTTGCACTAGACTGAGCAATGGGGATCTCCTGAGTCAGTGACCCTTGGTGGTGCATGGCAGGGCTCAGAACAGACGTTGTGTGACTGCCAGTGTGTGACTCACCCCCTCGGCATCACTGGGGCTACTCACATGGTGAATTACGCATGTACCTAAGTGCTTTGCTGGACCGGGATCAATGTCAACAGGGGGGCTGTTCTAGTTAGAGCCAGCCATCCAGTCCCATATCCTGTCTCTACCAATTGCTTCAGAGGAAGGGCCAAGAAAGCCCCTAATGGACAGTTATGGAATAACCTGCTCTTGGGGGAAAATTCCCTCCTGACCCCACTCACTCAGTGGTTTGTTTATGCCCTGAAGCAGGTGGGTTTTTCGCCCTTCTAATGGTTTTTATCCTCTGGAAAGTACTTCTGGTTGATCTCATGATGCATAGAAATCTCTCTTTTTAACAATCCTGCTCTGCTCTTTTGCTCTCCGTACTACCTAGTGGCAGAGAGTTCCACAGGCCAATTATGCCTGAGTTGCTCCTGGATTATTTAAAATCTGCTGCTTTACACTTTCATTGCACAATAATCGCAGCTAGAGTCAAGGTCCTTCATTATCACGTGGGGTTTCTTTGGTCTCTTCCTAGGGCCTGTCTATGCGGCGAGTAACTGAATCTCCAGGGCCCCGGTTGGCTGCACAGTAACATCTCGTGTGGACACTGCTACAGCACAGTGACGGTCCCAGAAAGCTGCAGATTCACACCCTGGCTTGCTGAGCAGGAACTCACGTGTAGAGAAGCCCCTAAGCATCTTCCCTTATTATTACGTCAGTGACTAGAGGCCGCGACTGAGATTAGGGGTCCCACTGTGCCTGGTGCTGCACCGCCATGTAGTGAGAGAGAGTCCCTGCCCCAAGGAACTTATACTGTTAAAAGACAAAAGGCAGGAGGAAGAGAAACTGAGTGGGGAAGTGACTTGCCCAAAGTCACAGAGCAGAGCCAGGAATAGAACACAGGTTTCCTGAGTCCTAGTCTAGTGCACTAGCCACTAGGCCATGCTGTCTTGCAGAATGCTGTCTTCTTCCTTATTAACTAAATGGTAATTTTTCTCTAGCCAGTGACTGGATTGTCCAGTGCAAAGTGACTGGAGTACAGGGTGGCCGTCCCGTTAGTTTTCAGAGGAATGGTTTGGTGCTGGTCAGATTAGCCATGGGATGCAGGGACCGGCGGCAGGGTGGAAGCGAAGTGTCTGTGCGTAGCCAATTTTCGGAACGCGTGTGGCTGATTCCCCCAGTCCCACAGCTGGGACCGGTGGCGGCGTCTCTCGCAGTGGGAGCTGCCGCTCTCCGGATACTCCCCCAGATCTGGCACCTGCTGGGATGTAGGTTGGGAGAGGCCCAGGAAATGCTGCTGCCCCCCATTCAGGGTAGCGGATCAGAGGGGATGTAAAACCAGTCCCAAGCGCTGAGCAGGGCAGCGGTGGCACTAAGGCTCCCTTAGCCAGATGGTAAAAGTAGACGTGACGGTAGTGGACGTCTCTGATTGCCCAGCCAGTCTGTCCGGGAGCCGCATTGCCTGTCTCCCACCTGCGGCTGATGGGACACCAGTGGAAACCTGCCAGGGTTGGCGTTTCGTTCCGAGAAACCTAGGCCCGATTTCTGCAGAGCCGGGCTGGGAATGGGCTCACGTTTTCAC